GCGGGAGCCATAGTCCCTGCCTAAAGGGCCCTCAGTTGGGACCTAGTGGAGAGGGAGGGCCCGGGTCCCCTACCACCCTTTTCCCTACCCTGGACAATCAACCCCTGGCCCAGGAGAGAGCAGTATTTCCCCTAGTAGAGGGGCATTGACTTTGGGACTAGGCTGCTAGAGCTGTATTTTCCCTGGGAGAGGGGCACCAACTTTGGGAATAGGTTACTAGAGCCGTATTTCCCCTGGGAGAGAGGCATTGACTTGGGGGTGCAGTCAAAGGGGAAGACAAGCCCCTCGACACCTCCCCTTTCAACAGAAATTTCTGTTAAATCTAGATCATGGTCATTTTACAATTTAATCTAGGGTATGTCTACACTACCCCGCTAGTTCGAACTAGCGGGGTAATGTAGGCATACCGCACTTGCAAATGAAGCCCAGGATTTGAATTTCCGAGGGGTGCCTTCACTGAGATAACCACGTCAATGTAAAATCCTAGGTAAGGCAAGGGACAGGTTTTTTTTACTTTAATGTACCCAGCCGAGGTAAAGCCAAGGTAAGAGGGTCTGACATTGACCTTGTCTAGCAAAATCAAAGTAAAACCTCCCTTTTGCTTTGTCTTCTTCACTAGAGTTTTACATTGAGATGACAGCTATCTTGAGTAAACAATCTCAATGTAAAACACCTTTTTTTTTTTTGAATGAACTCCAAGCTTTACTTATGTTGATCTTCTATGAATAGGAAGATACTAATTCAGGGTATGTCTACGCTACCCTCCTAGTTCGAACTAGGAGGGTAGTGTAGACATACCCCTAGAGATTTAAGAATGATAGATATTGTAAGGATTTTAAGAGATGCACCAACAGGATAAGCTACACTTTACAAAAGTGAATTATATTTGGAAGGAATCTACCACTGTGCTTAAAAAGAATACTAATAATGAAATACATCATTTTTATTAATCCTTTTGTTATGAGTCTTATGCCTTAGGTGGTAGATAAAATATATTTGTCACAGGAAAATGAGACTTGTTTACATTAGAAACAGATTTTGTTGATTTTTCTTTGTCATTACAATACAGATGTGTCAATATGCTCAAACTATCAACCCTTGGACAAGTGATATTTCAGTTTCCGTCCATTCTAAAGACTGCTTTCTTTTCCTGTTGTTTTATATATGTTTCTGGTAAAGGAGATTTCATGCTGCAGAAGCTTTATACCATAGTTTGTTGTGCTGAGTAAGAAGTCTAGCTTCAAAGCCTGAATTCTTATAAACACATGCAAAGAACTGCACGGCAACCAACAAACCTCATGAGTTGGAATTAAATAGCAGTAGACAGGCTGAATATGTATAGTAAATTAATGCTTTCCATATACAGTATGCTTTCAGTTTTCAATACTAGCCCAAAGAAATCCTATTTATTGTTGAATGGATATACTGTGGTCCAGATCTCTCTTATTCTCCCACCCTTACCCCCAAACACTGTGGCTACGTCTACACTACGGAGTTTTTCTGGGATACTGGAGGTATCCCGGAAAAACTCTGACATCCAGAGAATGTGTCTACTCTTCCGAATTCTTTTCTGAAGAGCAGATGCACTCTTTCTGAAGCCCTGTAAACCCCATTACACAAGGAAGAAAGGCTTTTCTGAAAGAGGAGGTTTTTCTGAAATTTGGCCCAGTGTAGACAGGCCAAATTTTGGAAAAGCCTATTCCGAAAAAAGAATCAGAAAAAGGTACGTACGTAAATTGCGGAGCGCAATTTGCATACTTTTTTTCCTAAAAAGAAGCGTAGTTTAGACATAGGTGATTTAAGGGTATTTTCCTTTGGTTTCAGAACAGACTCAGTAGTTTCTCTTTTGTGATTGATATTAGTTAATTATTATTGTCATCTATGAGCCAGGGACACTAGTTTATAACTGTAAAGAATCATTTAAATTTATGTCATTTTGTAAACAATAAATAATAGATAACAGAAACCAACAATAACTAATAATAGCTCAATAGAGATTATTTGTTTTCACTTGTCTGATTTGTTTACAACTAGACATTTCAAAACTGGCTTCTTCGCCACTCTCTTGTTGATGCATTGCTTGTTATTATTCAATCAAAATAGTCTTTATAACACAGTCTCTTATCACATACTGGCATCTTTATGCTTTTTTAGTAACTTAATGGAGAGGTCAACTTACCTGACAAGCAAAAGCTATTGGATCAGCCACTTCTTTAAATATGCGTTCAATCTCCTCCACTGCTGTGTAGTATTCAATCTGTGTCACAGCCTTAATGACTCCCCCACAGTAGACATTTACATTTACATGGCCAGCAGGAAAATCTTATAAAACACAAACAAAAACTGCAGCTGAAAACATATTATAATGCCATTCGGGAAATCTCAGGGAGTAAGTAAAAGACAAAGAAATATCACAACCACCACATAAAAGGCAATAAATAAGATTTTCATTTCATAGATGTTTCAGTGCAATCATTTTTAATCCAAGTCCTTCAGGTTAACACAAAAATGAAACAAATATATATATACACACACATTCTTATAAAATATAGCTATGTATTGTTTCAAATGAGAAGCAATATGAAAACAGCATGCTTCACATTTCAACTTTGCCTTTGATGGATTGATGCTCTATAATCAGCTTCCTCTGCCTACAAATTAAGCAAAGGTTCAGCCATTTATTACAAGTTACAGATTTGCTATTCATCTTTTGAAACATTTTTCTTAATTGCAGGTAAGGCTCTCAAAATTGGGTTTTATAGAAATTACACTTTAATTACTTCCATTCCAGTTGTTTACCTACTAAAAACTGAGGAGGGAGGTATTTGTACAGTCTGTTACTTTAGAATATCTTGCTCTGTGTATGCAGCATGAGCCCTCTTTATGAGTACATTTTATAATTCATCAGTATTCATTGTGCCATGAATCCTGCTGTACCTACCAACAGCAGAACTAAAATTCTAGCTCTCCTCACAAAAGAATAAAAGCGGACAAACTTGAAGACAAAAAAGAAATGGAGAGTCAAAGAAACTAAAATTAATGGAAATCAGCATCTCCTTTCACTTCAATGGTAAAGAGTACAAACTCATTTTACGTTCCTTTGTTAAAATGAAATCAGCTGGATCCTTGTTGCATTCCTGTATTTCAGTCATTTTTAAGGTTTTTGCCCGAGGATGTGGGGGGAAGAAGCACAAATAAAAAAGAAGCTAAATCAAGCAATGGTGGGGAAAACCAGTACCTCTGTTGGGATCCCAAAGAGTTTTTATTTAAAAGCTCCAATGGAATAAAATACGAATCCTTGTTTGGGACAAAAAGAAACTGTTAAGCTTTATATTTTTGTGTTTACTAATGTATAATCCTCATGGATATCTGCCCCAGTCCAATCACGTCCCTAGAAGTTATGCCTGCAGGAGTCCCCACAATCATGTCCACCGACATGAGGAGGAAAGGGGGCAACTGCCCTGGGGCCCAGAGATTCAAAAGGGCCCAGGACTCCTGGCTGCTGTAGCATCTGTGGCAGCAGTGATGGCCAGAGCCCTAGACCCTTCAAATCATTGCCAGAGCCCCAGCTGATGCATTCTGGACAGCACTGAGAGCTGACTGCCCCCCAGCACTGCTGCCCCTTCTGGCTAAGGCCGCGCCTTACTGGGAGTGTGGAGCTGCCCACCCCCACTTTCCCATAGGACAGTCAATGGGAATTTGGTCTTCTGAAAGGTACCTCACCATTAAAATCCTCCTCTGGCCAAGCACAGCCCCTTCAGAACTATAGCTGTCTCCCCAGTGAGCCATCCTGGTAAGGAATCACTCTCAAGCATGTGGATAACAAGGAAATTTACAACCTCATCCCTAAGTGCCTCCATACTTGAATGGCCTTCATAAAGAACTGGGCACCAGGAGCTCTTATTCTAATCCCAGCTGTCAGTGGCTTGACGTGTCTTCCTGGGCAAATCACAACTTCCTTGCCTCAGGTCCCCATCTATAGCATAATACCATTTATCTAACTTCACAATGGTGTCATCAGGATCAATTAATCAGCTAGCCCTTTGGAAGCACCATGCAAATGTTACTATCAAAGCCACCTACGATCCCCAATGAGAGGGGGCCAGTGGTGGCTGCTTTAAGGGAAGAGGAATGAGCTCAGTGATCGTGATAACTTTCTTCCCTGCAAAGACAGATGCAGCCTCCCACATGAGCTGATCAGAGAACACTAACACAAGAAAGCCGCTGCTCTGAAGGAAGTAAAAAGAAGCTCATGTTTTCCTCCGTCACCCACAGATCACGTATGTCTAAGAGGGAACAATGGAACTTGTTAGTGCTTAGCATCCCTAAAAAAACCACATACTTAGTCTTGTCTATGCCACACCATTTTGTTCACAAAAGTCAACTTTTGTGAACAAAACTAAGATGCCTAAATATGGATTTTAGGGCCTAACTTCATGTGGCCAAGTTTGAAAATTGTAGCTTAAGTGTTTTCCTCTTAAATGATGTGGTATTACCATGGTTTTTTAAAAATAAAATATGATATGCTATCCTTTGGGAATTCACACAATGCAACAGAGGCAAACCGAGCCCTGAACTCTTTGCTGAATATTTCCATAACACTTCTAGTACAATAATTGGAGGGAGACATATCCATTCCCTCTGCATTCTGAAACTCAAATAATAAAAACATTGCATTGTTTATCATGTTGCATGCAAAGTAAGAAATCAGAATAGCTAATATTATGGATAAAGTGATTGACAAAATGCAGAGAAACCAAAGGAGACTCAGTAATATAGAGAGATGAGATGGATATGAAATCATAGCAAAAAACCCCAAATGTTCTCAGTAAGCATTATAGACAGGCATATGGACAAAAACAGAAAATAACCTCACTGCATAAAATAAGAGACAAAACATCTTGTTAAACTTAATGCAGTAATAAGAATATTAGCTTTGCATTTTATATCAGGAATTTATTAAGAATGTTAATCTGTGACTAACCAATGACATTTTAAAGCCTGCCACCTGCCACTTAACCACACAAAAACAACCCAATAAAATCCAGTTTCCCATAAATCACAAGCCCTTGTGCTGGTATATTACTAACAATAATAATACTTTCTATGCAAAACCCATACACAGGAAACACAATAATATTAGATTTTGAAAGGAAGTGAAACTACTTATTGTAAAACAAGTGAAGAAAGTTCAGGACCAAAATTTTTGATTAATTATAGCTACAATAATGTTCTCTTACCTACAGCTTTCATGAATCTGACCTTCTGACTCCAAAAGGCTGGCTGTGTCCTAATTCGTTGATTGTCTGTTATGAATTCAATTTCTACAGTTTCAGTTATTTCATCTCTCAAAAGAATGAATATTTCACCAGGGTTCTATAAAGTTAGAAATATGCTACCATTAGCCTTTTACCAAACTACACTGAAACCATAAAATGTAAATTATATGCTTAAATGTAAGTTAAAATTACTTTTACCAATAGCTTCATATCCTGAAATATTATTATATAACAGTGGTGAAGCTATTTCATTAAGTTATCTTTTATGTTCTTTGAGTAAAAAAATGACAAGATTACTGTAAAAGTTTGAACTCTGTTTACCAAAGTCATATATAATGAAATTCTTCTCACTGTAACATGATGATCATATACTCACTTCCTGTTGGCAAAGGGTGAAAGTATCCTCATGCAGGAGACCCTTAAGCTACTTAAGACACCATTAAACTCTCAGAATTGGAAGTAAGTGGTACAATGGTCTTCTGCTGATCCTTTGCACAGGGGTGAATTTCAACAAGACAACATTAATGAACTACACCGAACGTGATGAACCAAATTCAGAGGTGACTTTAGTGGTGTAAGTTGCATCTCAGAGTCAGTTTTAGGGGTAAGCTGGTGCCTTTAAAATACTAAGGGCAGTATTACAGCAGGACAGAGAATGAAAAAAAAATACAGGCAGTCCCCGGGTTACGTACAAGATAGGGACTGTAGGTTTGTTCTTAAGTTGAATTTGTATGCAAGTCGGAACTGGTACATATTGTAGGGGAAACTCTAGCCAAACATTTCTCCAGAGCTCAGTTTTATTCTCCCACACCTCACTTCCCTCAGTCCTTTATTCTCAAGCTGAGGTGTCTGCTAAGAAAAGCCGCTCCGCGTCTCCCTGGTCTGCTGGGGGGAAACAGCTAGTGCAGGGTTGCCTCACCCCGTTTGTAAGTAGGGATCTGATGTAAGTCGGATCCATGTAACCTGGGGACTGCCTGTATAAATCAAGCTGACTAATTTATCTTAAGCCTTCCTGCATCTGCCACTTAGCTGTTCTCGGTGCAGTGTTCTACTTTCTCTGTATGCAAGTGACACTTGTTTATACTCAGGCTGATTCCCACTGATAAACTGGTCTGTAAAGTGGCACTATTCAACATCTTTAAATTTGGCCCACTGATCTGTGGCAAATGTATAGATTTTCACTGGGAAAATATACACTTGTGCTAGTAGTGTTCTTTGAAGAACTGAACAAGAGTCAGAACAATCATTCACAATGAACAATTCACTGAACTATATTTGCCACCCTTCAGATCAACTAAAAATGAACTTTCACCTTTAATCCCTTTATTACTCCTTCAAAAGAAAATGTATATTTTATAACACTACATAAGCTCCCTTCTGAATGTGAGAGGGTGATCCATGCATGAAGGGACCTTCAGAGCATCAATTGGGAGGGGGTTAATCTAGGCCCTTGTTTTTCTTATCTTTCTAACCAGAAATATTTCCCAAAAGTCAAAAGGAAATATATGTTTTTCTATTTAGAGAAGCAGTTTAATGCATCTAGCACCCTCCCCCTTCCTCCTCCTTGAAATAATTATGTCCTAATTCATATTAAGGAAAGGATCTATAGAATTAACAGACAATGACAGCTCTTCAAAACAAATCTGACTAAAAGGGACTGTGAGGGACTCCAAGAAGATCTCACCAAACTCAGTGATTGGGCACCAAAATGGCAAATGAAATTTAATGTGGATAAGTGTAAAGTAATGCACATTGGGAAAAATAACCCCAACTATACGTACAGTATGATGGGGGCTAATTTGGCTACGACAAATCAGGAAAGGGATCTTGGAGTTATCGTGGACAGTTCTCTGAAAACTTCCACGCAGTGTGCAGCGGCGGTCAAAAAGGCAAATAGGTTGCTAGGAATTATTAGGAAAGGGATAGAAAATAAGACACAGAATATCTTACTGCCCCTGTATAAAACTATGGTACGCCCACATCTTACTGCCCCTGTATAATGGTACGCCCACATACTCCATACTGTGTACAGATGTGGTCTCCTCACTTCAAAAAAGATATTTTGGCCTTGAAAAGGGTTCAGAAAAGGGCAACTAAAATGATTAGGGGTTTGGAGCGGGTCCCATATGAGGAGAGGTTAAAGCGACTGGGACTTTTCAGTTTAGAAAAGAGGAGACTAAGGGGGGATATGATAGAGGTATATAAAATCATGAGTGGTGTGGAGCGGGCCGATAAAGAAAAGTTATTTATTAGTTCCCTAAATAGAAGAACTAGAGGATGCCAAATGAAATTAATGGGTAGCAGGCTTAAAACTAATAAAAGAAAGTTCTTCTTCACACAGAGTGTAGTCAACCTGTGGAACTCCTTGCCAGAGGAGGCTGTGAAGACTAGGACTATAATAGAGTTTAAAGAGAAGCTAGATAATTTCATGGAGGTTAGGTCCATAAAAGGCTATTAGCCAGGGGATAAAATGGTGTCCTTGGCCTCTGTTTTTCAGAGGCTGGAGAGAGATGGAAGGAGACAAATTGCTTGATCATTGTCTTCGGTCAACCCTCTCTGGGGTACCTGGTGCTGGCCACTGTCAGTAGACAGGATACTGGGCTAGAAGGACCTTTGGTCTGACCCAGTACGGCCATTCTTATGTTCTTATGTTCTTATGTTCTAAAAGAAGGCACATTTATTATTAAATTCAATAATAAAATTCTATTGCAGGTCTCTCTTGTTTAGAATAATACTCTCATTTTCATAATGGGGCTTTCCAGTGAAGAAAAACAGTATTTCTCAGTACACATTTTAAAGTACACCAACTGTAATGATCTACTACAGCATTTCCCAAACTGTGGTCTGCCGCCCTGTACCGGGTCCTTAGGAAAAAAATACCGGGCCTCAGAAAAATTTTTGAGAGAGCCTGCCTCACTGCACGCAACCCCCAAGATGAATGCTGCGCTGAACTCCCAGTGTCAACGGAGGTAGCGCGGGCTTCCTACGGGGTTGGGGGGGCAGTTCTGCAGCTGCGCGCTAGGTCCCGGAAGTATGCGGGCTGCTCTCTCCCCTGCCCCAACAGCCAGAGCGGTACCTAAAACGCCAGTCCATCGCACGCTGGGGACTTTGTTCCCCTGCTGCCTCCCTGCGTGCGGGAGAATGGGTGGGAATCTGGGACTGCGCCGGCTCCACCTGCTCAGGAGGTGCGTGCTGCCATGGGGAGCAGAGGAGCAAGGCACGCACTGCCCAAGTGGCTGGGGCAGGTGTGGTCCAGGACTCCCCCTCTCCCTTCCCTCCATGTAGGAAGGCAGCAGGGGAATAAAGTCCCCAGTGTGCCAGCTCCAGTTGCTTGAGTGGAACAGAGGCGCTCCAGCTGCATGGGGAGCAGAGAAGCAAGGCATGCGCTGCCCGAGCAGTTAGGGCTGGCACGGTCCGGGACTCCCCCTCCCCCTGTGCAGGAAGACATCAGGCGTGCAATGGACCAGCATGTCAGGTACCGTACTGCTGTTTGGGGGACGGAGGAGCAGCCCACGCACTTCCTGGGCCTTGGCAGCTACAGGATCCCCAGGTATCGGTCCCTGTCCCTTCGCCCCCCCCCCCAGGCTCCCACAAGAACCCTGCCCCTGCACCCGCAAGCACCCAGTCCCCTGCCCCAGCACTCACTGGCACCCTTCCCCAGAACTCTGTCCCAGCACCCACAAGCACAGTTGGGGCCACATTAGTGAGGTTTGAGGGGTTTGGAGGGGTTGTGTTTTTGTATCTCACTTGTGTGGCCCCGACTGACTTTTCTGTGGCACTAAAGTTGGCACTGGAGGCTTTAGGAGGACCAGAAACAATTGATTTGCATTTTCATCATTTGCTTAATGAATATGCAAATATGTAAATAAATGTTACCAGATCTCCAAAAGCTCATGAATGGAATTACTGGTCCTCAGTATCAAAAAGTTTGGGAAATCCTGATCTATTGAGTTCTCTAGGTTGTACAGTAATTTTTGTAATACTCTATGGGTGCATCTAGACTGGCAAAATCTTGCCGCCTGTCTACACTGCGAGTATTTGCACAGAACACTGACTTTGTACTGTACAAAATCAATGGTTCTTGCACAAATACTTTGACGCTCCCGCTCAGGGATAAGCCCTCTTGCACAAGTATTCTTGCACAAGAGGACCAGTGTAGACAGGCAAGTTAATTTCTTGCACAAGAAAGCCCGATGGCTAAAATGGCCATCAGAGATTTCTTGCGCAAGAGAGTGTCTACACTGGCACGGTTGCTTTGCGCAAAATATGTCTTTCGCAAATACTTTTAACGGAAAAACCTTTCTGTTAAAAGTATTTGCGCGAAATCATGCCAGCCTAGACGCAGCCTATTGGTTTCATCAGTGCAGATTACTGAGTTTTCCAAAATAGTAAACATTTTAAACTAAATACTTTCTATATGTATGTCTTTCATCTAATCTTCAGCTGTAATCAGTAGTGTAGGGTTGGCTGAAATAGCCTCCTTGTCACAGAGCAGCCAAAAGCTATGCAACATTCCTTCCACTTCTCTGCCATGTCACTACTAGCCTGATTCTTCAGCCCTCAAATGGCTCTGGCCATTAACTTGCCTAAGGTCTACAGGGATGGGCTTCAGATACTGCACTCTTTACACAGTTTTCATGCTTGTGTTTTCTCACATGTAGTATTGATTTTTTTTAAATGAGCATTCATATATTTGCATACCAACAAACACACACACACACACACACACACACCTCTCTATAATCCCATGCAATACAATGCTTCTAGAGAGGCACTTCATATCTTTTGAAAAAGTACCTGACTAAATATTTCCTTCACATTCCAATGAAACCTGTTCAAGCAAAATTTTATCTGCCAAACAATTTTTAATAGAAGTAAAATCCTGCAGTCTTATTTTGAAAGTCTTTGTACTGGATGTGATACTCAGGCAGCACAACTCCCACTACAGGTAAACTCTCATTTGTGCTCCACAGTAGGGGAAGGGCAGAAGAGTGACATTTATCCCTAACATTTTAGTATTGAAAAGCCTTACCTCACATGATATCCTTGTTGGTAGCACCAATACTGAAGGCCTCATAGTTTCTAATGTTTCAGAAACTTCCTCAGTTTTCAAACTCACATCTGTTTTCACTGATACTCCTCTATCCAACTGCAAGTTAACTTCTGACTTAGGTTGATAATCTGCAAGATATAATATTGAATAAAACATATTGTTATTCATCCTACATAAATAAAATCTGATGGGCTAAAAACTGCTAGATGATGATTATTTACAAACAGATGTACATGTCATTTTGTGAAAAAATAAAAGAAAGCAGGTAAAATCCTGGCCCCATTGAAGTGGCTTTCATTCAGTGCCCTTGTTCAAAAGATCCCACAACCCACATTCATATCCATAGTCTTTGCTCACATGTGCCACTGGCATCTAAAGTATATGGCTTTGTCTATAGTTTGGGTTTTGCCACAGTGTAGTTACAACAGCACAAAAAAACCAGTGTATGCAGATTCAACTGAGATAAACAAAGATTTTCACCGCTGCAGATAATCCTTGTTTCAAGCAGAGCAAAGCTTTACTGATGCAAATATTGCCCACTTGACTCAATGGGTGGGAAATTTTATAGGACCAACTAGGGCAGACAGACACTGGGAAAGGGGGAGGGGAGAATCACATATCCTAAAAGGTGGGCTCTTTATTCCTCCAAAGTTTCTCTGCCTACTATTGGCCAGCCAGAGGGAGATGGGAGCTGATTGGACTCTTGCTCCTCTCCTGCCCCATCCTGTTAATTTAAACTTTGCCTGAGTCTTTTGGGGTACGTCTACACAGCAGGGCTAAAGTCAAATTAAGCTAGGCAACTTCAGCTGCGTCATGTGTGTAGCTGAAGTCGAAATAGCTTAATTCAGCTTTTGGCACTTTCTACACAGCATGAAGTCCCTTCCCTTACTCCTCATGAAATGAGGGGTTACCATGAGTCAGAGTAAAAAGTCCTCCAGTTCGACATTATTTAAAAATAAAGGCTTTTAGTGTATACGCGCATTATGTTATTTTGGAATTTTCCGCTTTTTTCCTAAAAAGACTTTTCCAAAATTTGGCCCATCTACATGGGGCGATATTTTGGGAAAACCTTCTCTTTTTGGAACATCCCTTATTCCTCATACAATGAGGAATACAGGGATGCTGAAAGAACGCGTCCGCTTTTTCAGAAACTGTTTGGGACACTGCAGAGCTTTTCCTTGGACGCGGCAGAGCTTTTCTGAGATACCTCTGGTATCCCAAAAAAGTTCTGCAGTGTAGACATAACCAGAGAGAGAATAAAACCAGATTGCTGCCGTGTAAAATTAAAAAGGTTGTAGATGGGTTTTTAAACTAAGGGCGCATAGTTGGAACAGACATATGCCTAGAAGAGGATTTATTAAAAAGGAGAGCCATTCTTTTTAAGTAACAAACCTGAGGCACTGTTTGAAGTATCAACAGGAGACTTTGAACAAATTGATAAATAGATAAATAGATCATCGGAATCAGACAATATTCATCCATATATTCTAAAGGAACTCAGATATGAAATTGCAGAACTACTAATTGTGGGTTGTCTACACTGCCACCCTAGTTCTAAATCTCCTTGCAGGAGTAGTAACGGTAGTTCAAATTAGGAGCTTTAATTCGAACTACCTAGTCCGTGCCGTGTATAGCCGCGGGCAGGTAGTTCGAACTACGGGCATTTAAAAATGGCGCCCACCCGGGAACATGAAAATGAAGCCCGGGATATTTAAATCCCGGGCTTCATTTGCAAGTTCGAATGCCTACATTAGCCACCCTAGTTCAAACTAGGGTGGCAGTGTAGACATACCCTGTAATAGGTAACCTATTTTTTATGTCTGTCTCTGTACCAGATGCCAATTTTCAAAAAAAGATTTCAGAATCAATCTCGTCAGTTACAGGATGGTAATTACAGGCTTCTCCTGTACCAAATAAAGTGGTTGCAAACATAGTAGAGACTAGGATTATCAGACACATAGATGAATGCAGTGTATTTGGGAAGAATCAACTTCTTTAGCTCACCCATCTATTAGAATTCTAGGTGTGGATGGGAGGGGCATCAATAAACCCATGAACAATGGTGACCCAGTGTAAATGGATATATTCAGAATGACTTTGACAAGGTCCCTCACCAAAGGCTCTTACGCAAATTAAGTAATTAAGGGATAAGAGGGAAGGCCCCCTCATGGATCAGTAACTGGTTAAGAGATAGAAACAAAGTGTCAGAATAAATGACAGTTTTCACAGTGAAGAATGGTAAAGAGTGGAGTATCCCCAAGGACCTCTAGTGAGACCAGTGGTGTTCAGCATTCATAAGTGATCTAGAGAAAAAAGGGTAAACAGTGAGGTGACAAAGTTTGCAGATGACTCAAGACAAAGCAGTCAGCTTTGGACTTGGCTAACAGTTCAAGAGTTTTTACAAAACTGATCCTTCACCCATCAAAATGGCAGATGAAATTCACTTTGTTGATAAATGCAAAGTAATGTACATAGGAAAACATAATCCCAACTATGCATATAAAATGAAGGGGTCTAAATTAGCTGTTACTATTCAGAAAAGAGATCTTGGAGTCATTGTGGATAATTCTCTGAAAAAATCCATTGTGCAGAAGCAGTACAAAAGAGCTAAGAATGATAGAAACCATTAGGAAAGGGTTAGGATAAGACAGAAAATAACATAATGCCACAACAGAAACCCATAGTACACCTACAGTTGGAATACCGCATGCAGTTCTGGTTACCCCATCTCAAAAAGGAAATATTAGAATTGGAAAAAATACAAAGAGGGACAACCAAAATTATTAGGGACATGGAACAGCTTCCATGTAAGGAGAGATTATAAAGAGTGGGACTGTTCATTTTAAAAGAAAGACAACTAAGGTGGGGGAGGCTATGCTAGAGGTCTACAAACCATGAATGGAGTGGAGAAAGTGACTAAGAAAGTGTTATTTACCCTTTTGCATAACACATGAACCAGGTGGTCAACCAATTAAATTAATAGGCAGCAAGCTCAAAACACACAAAAGGAAACACGTCACACAAAGGACAGGTAATCTGCAGACCTTGTTGCCATGAGATGTTGGGACAGTACCAATGGGTTCAAAATAGAACTAGATAAGTTCATGGAAGCAGGTCCTTCAACAACTATTAGACAAAATGGTCAGGGGCACAACCTGATGCTTTATGTGTCCCTAAACCTCTGATTCCCAGAAGCTGGGACTGGATGACAGGTAATGTATCACTTTGTGATTCCCCTATGCTATTAATTACTTCTAAAGCATCTGGCACTAGCCTCTGTCAAAAGACAAGCTACTTGACTAGATAGATTATTGGTCTGACCCAGCATGGCTGTTCTTATGGTCTTATGACACTTTGCTCAAAATGAATGGTAGTGTCACATGATAAAACCATTAAAATAACTTCTAAGAAGATATTCTCTACCCTGAGCAATATGCATGTGTCACTATAGGTTAGAAACAGGTAGCACTGACAAAAGAAAAAGTACTTCTTTTTTATGAGAGTATTTCACAACTCTAAAATATGTTACCATAAAAGTGTCCTTTTTATTTCGAAAATATTATCACTTTAAACAATTGATTAGAAAATAAATGTCATTTAGATGTCATATCTAGCTATAAAGGTTCCAAAGAGAGAAATAATGAGAACACATAAACAATCCTTTGAGTCAGGGTTTTATTAAATCTCAAGAAAACTAGCAGCAAAGAAAAAAATGTATGTAATATCTTCAGTTAATGCATCATTATGAACTAGATCTCATTATATACTTCATCCTATTACTTCCAAAAATGATCATTTATCAATATAAAGGTGTTAGCTAAGTTCAGCCAATTATTTTGTACACACATGAATAGCTAAAGAAAAATTGTGAAGATAAAAGAGCACACTACCTTTGAAAATTATATACTAAGAGTTTTAAAGTATTGTAGACCCATCTAAAGACAAACATGGTAAGACATAGGATACAAAATGATCCATAAAACACGGGATGAAAAAAGGAATTATGTATGGTGCAATAAAGAAAAATGTTATATCTCTTAATATTACATTTTTGTAGAATGCCTTGTCCTTTTGCACAAGAACAGTGTTTGTTATATGCTGCACCAGCATTGTTTTCTACCTCAGAAAATAATGAATATCTTCCAGAGGATAAGATGCTTTGATAAAGTTTTGTATTAGAAGAAACCAAGGAGCTAAGAGTTGAATTGTCTCTTACCAAACCACATTCAACACAAGGTACAACAATTTCTAATTAACCCTCCTCCTTGAGATTTAATTTACTTTGAATTACAAAACATTTAAGAATGTATATATGTTTGTTCAAGAACTCCTCTTAAATAGTAAGGGTATGTCTACACTACAAAGTTAGTTCGAACTAACAGACGTTAGTTCGAACTAACTTTAATAGGCGCTACACTAGCGCTCCGCTAGTTCGAATTTGAATCGAACTAGCGGAGCGCTTAGTTCAAACTAGGTAATCCTCATTCCACGAGGATTAAGCCTAGTTCGAACTAGCTAGTTCGAATTAAGGGGTGTGTAGCCCCTTAATTCAAACTAGTGGGAGGCTAGCCCTTCCCAGGTTTCCCTGGTGGCCACTCTGGCCAACACCAGGGAAACTCTATGCCGCCCCCCCGGCCCCGGACCCCTTAAAGGGGCACGGGCTGGCTACGGTGCCCGTGCCAGGTGCAAGCCTGCCAGCACCCAGCCAGCAGGAATTACTGCCCTGGACCGCAAGAGGAGGGCACCTTCCTGGGCTAGTGAGGACATCGTGGACCTCGTCCACGATCTCCGCACTAGGCACAGGAAAGTGGCCGTCTAGGGCAGGAGAGCTGCCAGCCTGGCCACCCAGGAGCAGGTGTGCATGAAAATCAAGGGGGTCCACTGAGACCCCCGACCCTGAGCCCTGAGCTTACAATGGCCGTCCTGGGTCAGACCAAAGGTCCATCTAGCCCAGTAGCCTGTCTGCCGACAGCGGCCAACCCTAGGGACCCTGGAGGGGATGGACCGAAGACAGTGACCAAGCCATTTGTCTCGTGCCATCCCTCTCCAGCCTTCCACAAACTTTGGGCAGGGACACCACTCCTACCCCCTGGCTAAGACTACTCCATGGACCCAACCTCCATGACTT